TATATATATATATATGTATATTCAGTATACAGTATATAAATATACACTATATTGCCAAACGTATTGGGACACCCCTCTAAATCATTGGATTAAGGTGTTCCAATAACCTCCATGGCGGCAGGTGTATAAAATCAAGCACCTAGGCATGCAGATGTTTTTACAAACATTTGTGAAAGAATGGGTCGCTCTCAGGAGCTCAGTAAATCCAAGCATGGTACCGTGATACGTTGTCACCTGTGCAATAAGCCCACCCTTGAAATTTCCTTGCTACTAAATATTCCACAGTCACATGTTAGTGGTATTATAACAAAGTGGAAGCAACTGGGAACAACAGCAACTCGAAGTGGTAGGCCACATAAAAGGACAGAGCGGGGTCAGCGCATGCTGAAGCGCACAGTGCTCAGAAGTCGCCAACTGTCTGCAGAGTCAATAGCTACAGACCTACAAACTTCATGTGGCCTTCAGATTGGCACAACAACAGTGCTTAGAGAGCTTTATGGAATGGGTTTCCATGGCCAAGCAGCTGCATCCAAGCCTTACATCACCAAGTGCAATGCAAATCGTCGGATGCAGTGGTGTAAAGCACGGCGCCACTGGACTCTAGAGAAGTGGAGACAAGTTCTCTAGAGTGACGAATCACGCTGCTCTGTCTGGCAATATTACAGTCTGTTCTCGTCCAACATCAGTACCTGACCTCACAAATGCGCTTCTGGAAGAATGGTCAAACATTCCCATAGACACACTCCTAAACCATGTGGACAGTCTTCCCAGAGGAGTTGAAGCTGTTATAGCTGCAAAGGGTGGGCCAACTCAATATTGAACCCTACGGACTAAGACTGGGATGCCATAAAGTTCATGTGCATGGAAAGGCAAGCGTCCCAATACTTTTGGCAATATAGTGTATATCTCAATCATACTTACCAGGTAATAACGGCATGAGCTCTGAAACACAGAACACAATAACAGGTAATATAAAATAAAGCTTTTAATAGTACATATTAAAAAGCATAGTGAAAGACATGCTTAATAAAAGTACTCCCGGTGGAACTAATGTACTTATGAATAGGTTTAGGAAGATATAGGTGTATGAGTATATATAAATATTTTTTTTTCACAAGGATTAAGATGTAAAGTAAATTGTAGATTAATAATAAATTATGATATTCCATAAGAGGATATGTGGCACAATAACATTGGAAGGGATTTTTTTTCCCCCTTGATGTACTTGACACTAGGTATGGGAAGACGGTGTTAATTTTTTTTTGTGTGTTTTATTACCACACCGTTCACAAAGATATAGAAGTATGATTGTTTCAATGTATTTATGAATATGTCTGGGGAATGTAAAGGTATGTGTGCATAGATGTGTATGTACATGTATATATATATATATATATATACAGGGCTTGAAAAATTTGATAGTGTCTCACCAGTCAGTCAAAAATTTCACCAGTCAGCATGACCGGACTATAGCCTTGCTATTTATGTTAAAAAAGTTTGGGGACAGATAGAGCTTTCTTTTGGAGGTATATAATCCCCACGGGGGAGGGGGGGTTTACTATATAATTTAAAAAGTACCATAAATGTAAAAAAAAAAAAAAAAAGTTTCCCTACGTTATGTTATAAAACATTTATTCTTACCCATATTTTTAGTAAAACATAAAAGTCAGGGTCACGTCGGGTAAATAGACACCAAACATGTCAAGCCTTAAAATTGCGTGCGCCCGCAAAAATCGCAAAAAACGCCCACAGGCGACGATTAAAACGCTTTTTCTGTTCATCAGTTTAGTGTTATCAGTGATTAGTGTATGACGCGCGTTTTGCTGTGCATGTTTTAACCGCGATTTGCAGCCCACAAAACGCACGTCAAACGCGCGTTTACGAGGGCTATACGGCTGTATCCTAATGGATATGCGCAAAAATACGCCCCAAAGAAGCTCCTGTACTTCTTTGGGCATAGGGCGTTTTTCAGCACGTTCCGACACGCTGAAATATGCCCAAGTGAGAACAATGCCCATAGGAAATAATGGGATTTCACTTGCAGGGTGTTTACAGCGCGTCGATCAGCGCTGTAAAACGCCCAGGTGTGAACGCGGCCCTAATGGCTCTAAAATCATTGCTCTCACTCCGTTTGCAGCAATATGCAACAGGCGCACTTAGGCGCACCTGACGCATATATGCGTGTGTATGTGGGGGGCGCGGACTTAAAAAAAATGTTTAAAAAAATAAATATTATGCTTCTTTATTTTTTTTATCAATCTTTCATTTTTGTATTACTTTTTTTTTATGACACTGAATGCAGGAAGTGATGCAATATACATCACTTCCTGCATTCGGGGACTGAGAGGAGATCAAAGGGAGTTCGTACACTGAACTCCCTTTGATCTCCTGTCACAGAGCCGTGCCGGTCCCGGCCGCATCGGGCACAGCGGATCTCAGGACCGGCAACGGCAGTGACAGCTGCTGATACAAGCAATCGAGCGTCTCTCGATACGCTTGACCGCTTGACTGTAAAGCTCCCGGCCGGCCGTGTAATTACAACAGCCGGCCGGGAAGCTGCTCATCGGGCTCCACTGTCTGCTCGTCACAGACGAGCAGACGAGTGGATTTTCGAGCTCTGTATATACAGTATATATATGTGTACGTTTTTTCTACCCTTTATCTATTTTTATTTTTTCTCCTTTATTTTAATGGGGGCTGAGTAGAATGATGATGTAAGATATTGTGACTGTTAAATTATTTATTTGTATGTCTTATTTGTCTAATGTATTGTTGAAAACAAAAATAAAAAGTTGATAAACAAAAAAAATAAAAGTACTCCAGCAAAATACTAAAAAGTTTCAGAAATTATCAGTAGCAGTTTAACAGAAATGTTCCCTTCCCGCTTTAATGCTTAGCAGTATCTCCCATGTAAGGACTCACAGGACAATGTCCATAACAATATACATTTACATAAATCTTTTACGTTTTAATGTAATATTTGGATAAATCTAAAATCTCTTTCTAAGTAGCGCAAGACAGCAATATTAGATCCTTATCGGAACTTGATATAGTCACTTAAAGTACTGTATTTGCCGGCGTATAAGGCGACTGGGTGTATAAGACGACCCCCTAATTTTCCACTTAAAACATTTTTTGGGGGCTATACTCGTCATATAAGACTACCCCACTTCAGAGGCAACACCATTTAAAAACATCATGGATGGATGTGCGGTAATACTGTATGTACGGTAGCTTCGGCTACATACAGTATACCGCGCTGAGCCAATCACGGCAAGCAATGTATTCTATTAATGAATACAAAGCCTGCTCGGATTGGCAGAGGTTGTGTACATCGCTCGCCGTGATTGGCTCAGCTACTGTATGTAGCCGAAGCTACCGTACATACAGTATTACCGCACATCCAGCGGGCTGACAGATTAGGGATGTTCATTGTGGGCCAGCTTGGCCCAAACGAACTAAAGGTATACATTGTATACCCCGCGTATAAGAGGACCCCCGATTTTCGGGGGATGTTTTTAAGTATAAAAAGTAGTCTTATACGCCAGCAAATACAGTAAGTAGAGTAAAGTAAGTAGAGTAGAGGTATGTAGACTAAATTTACATCCCAAATGACAGAATGCAAAGGAATGCTTAATTCCTATGAATGCATCCTACCATTTACCAATGGTACAGGGTAGGGAAAGTGTTCTGAGAAATGCCCAATGAGGAAACATGTTAAGGCATGTGGCATTCTAACTGGCCACCCAGCTGCCCCTAAATTGCTCCCTTTTGGTACTGCATATGAGACTGTGAGCTGCTTTGGATCCCTCAATGCCATTTCCCAATGTCATTGATATCGGGTGATATTGACTCATTTGTAATCCATGAACTGTCTGTACTTGCCTTGAAAGCTTCATAAGGGATACACATCCTTATTCATAGACCTATGTGGAGTTACAAGTGTTTTAGTAATTATCCACAATATTTTGAATTGCATGTACAGCATGTAATTGCTTCATATATACGTTTGGGTTAAAATTTGGGATCCTGCTTCTTATCACAATATGAAAAGTGTGGAATGCTTTGGCACCAGATATCAATTTTAATAGGGTTCATTCCAGTGCTTTGGACCCTCGACAACTTTCATGTGGACATTTTTGATACATTGTACCTTTTGTCCCTTGAATAATTGTAGAATGCATTTATAGAAATAACCCTGTCAGCATTTGGGATATACATTTATTCCACTCTAAAATGGTATCATATATAAGTGATTCTGTTGAGTTCTGATAAGGATCTAATTTTGCTGTCTTGCTCTACCTTAAAACATGTTTCAGCTTTTTCCAAGAATTGCATTGAAATGACAAGGATTGATGTCAGTTTATATTATTGTAGACATTGCTTCATGAGCCCTTACATGGGAGTTAATGCCAAGAATAAGTGAGGGAAAGTGAGACTTTTTGTTAAACTGTTATTGATGATTTCTTACAATTGTCAGTATTTTGCTGGGGCCCCAGAGTACATTTTAATAAGTACATCTATCACTATTTGTTAGTTTTTAAAATGTACTATATTTTATATTACCTGTTACTGTCACCAGTAACATCTGGTGTTCCCAGATCTCTCTTTCTCTTATAATGCCTGATAAGTAATTATTTTTAAGTGGGGAAATATAGCATCTTCTAAACTAGTGGGATGTCCAAGATCCACATTTAACAGTGCATGCAAACGGTCAAGTGAGACTTGAGAGGCAATTTCACAATAACATCTGCTTGCACTTTTGAGCATCATCACCAAAATGGAGAAAGTTGCTTTGGGTTGTTAAGGACAGAAGTTAGGGAGGGATGGAAACAGGTTATGGAGTGTATCTGTGTTAAGTTGATACTGTGGAAAACTCTCCAAGATGTTGCCATTTGGGAGAAATGTGTAGGACATTCTCCAGATTTCTACAATGGTGTTTAAGATTTCCCTGAAGGTAGGGAATCTAGCTATGTAGAAGCAAAATACTGCTTCCTCACACTGCAGTGCTGGGTAACTCACTGGCCAAGCCCAAGTGGGACAGGTTCATGTTTATTTTAAAGTGAATTTAAGAAGACTTTATTTTTAAAATGTAAACAGTAGTGGCAGGAAAATAAGAAATATGTCACTAAGGTATTTGAGCATAATAATCTTTAAAATGTTAATGTCCTCTATAGAAAAAGTGTCTGCATGTGTGGATACCCCAAAGAAAAACACTTGGACATAGCTACAAGACCACAACCCTTCCAAAGCAAAGAGACATGGGATCTTAGAGAACATATAAAGGAGATGCCCACAGATGCTTTTGGAGATGTCAGCTTCACTGGCCTTGGTCCCAGAGTTGGAAAGGTTTGTTGTGTAACAATTTTATTTTAGCTTTATAATAGCTCTCTTACTATAATTTGCTCCTTTACAAGTTCACTTTATTAATATTTCAAGAATTTTGAGAATCATCTACCATCAAAAGCTTTCGAAATAGTTTATGCCTTCTAACTTTTATCTGTCATGGAAATGGAATTTAACAAACCCGAATACAGATAAACCAACTTTTTATTAAAAAAAAAAAAATGTAACAGCTAATTTGGTTTCAGAATTTTTGTTTATTTTTAGACCCGATTATATATATCTAATCTTTTGCATTGAATAAAATATGTGTAGTACAATGGTATAAGGCGTGCATTTTAATTAATATATGAATATTATATTGGTTCTTTCTTTTTCTTTATTACAGCAGTATGTGAGAGTGTCTTCTGATACTCCATCCGGTGTCCTCTACCAGCTGATGACCGAGCAATGGGGTCTTGAAGTTCCCAATCTTTTAATTTCAGTAACAGGCGGGGCCAAGGATTTCCGTATGAAAATGAGATTGAAAAACATTTTCCGTAGAGGTCTTGTGAAAGCAGCACAAACTACAGGTGATTTCATAGTTGTTTCTGTATTCATTACCAGTTATTTACTTGATAGAACCGATATAAACATTCCCTGGCCAGAGGGGTAAATCCAAGGCCTGTAAACTAACAAATTTATTTTTTCTTTTATTCCATGCCTGTTTGCAAATGGGCATCTACCTTGCATTGCTCCCTGAAGTTTAGCCCCGTGATTCTTGTCACAATCCAGGGGTATTTAATCCTAGCAAATGAGAGACCAATTAAAATTTCCTTCTATAGCATCTCTGCCTATTAGCACAGCAGGGCATATCTGCCATGTGAATCATCAACTTGCCAATGTTTGTTTTTGTGATGTTTTCAGTTTGTTCAGTGGTCTGAAATGCTAGATATGAATGAAATCGGAGCAAACATTCACTTGTAAAGCTAACTGATCCTGTTTGCCCTTGTGGTTCTGCAGACCCAATACAATGTGAGGTCTTTGAATGGAGCAGTCAAAATAAGCTACAACTGCTATATACAGCTCATATTCAGAACTGACACCTTTCAGTGGCATTCATAAAGTGGGTCATGCCAAAAAAGAGCACATAAATCTGTTTTTGGATTCCAATACTATTCCCTTTCACAAATTCTGTTGCTGGTATTTTTCACATTTTATTTGGCCATATTGCACATGGTCCTCACCCCAGACTGAAAACTGTATCCTGGGGATAGGGAGGCCCACTATAGTGATTAAGTGACATTACACTATTATTTTTATATCAAGCAATTATGAAATAATAATAGAATAAAACTAGTACAATATATGCAGAATCAATTATGTGCAAAGTGTTTGTTCAGCCCATGTTTTTCTCCTAATATTTTCATGTAAACAAGACCGTTAACAATTAAAAAATAAAATTTGAATATAGTTTTTTAAATAAAGACAAACTGACATTTTTACATCTGCACTGTGGCTGATTCACCATATAGGCATCCTTATACTTTCATGACAGCTTTAGGACAAAAGTTGAGTCACGGCAATGACAAACCAGTGAGCCTTGCTATGAAATAAAAGGGACATTTGTACTTTTTGAAGTGTCTCTCATATTTTTTAGAAAAGTTTATCTTTGTTATGTTCTACAAGGTGTTCTTAGATGTTTTAATTTAAGAAAAACAATATATTTTAAATAATGCTTAGAAATTTAGGAGCTTTGTTTAGGTTACATGGTTTCAGCAAAATTAAAATAGTAAGCTGATTACTTTCCACAATGGATATTCTGGTACTATTGTCATTACATTGGACTGTCGTTTGTAATATAAGGGGTGTTGTTTGCCTATAAACTATTTTTGATCATCAGTTAAATTTCTAATATAAATGATGGCAAGTTTTAAAATGTTCACCTTATGGAAACAGCAATGTGCACTGCATAATAGTTTCCACTGCGTCTACTTACTGAATAGAGGTACAGATGTTAGGGAATTACCATGGGTGTCAGATTGTAACACTGTGCTGTTTGTGTTGCTCAGACTTAGGCAAAAATAGATAAATGTTGTGTAGTATCTATAACTGTTTATTGTTTCCTGTATTCTATACATGCCACATAGGTGCCTGGATTATAACTGGTGGTTCTCATGCTGGTGTAATGAAGCAAGTCGGTGAAGCAGTAAGAGACTTTTGCATGGGCAATGCCAATAAGAACAGTAAGATAGTTACTATTGGTATAGCTACCTGGGGAATTGTTCATAATCGAAACAGTTTGATCACTAGTACAGTGAGTATTATATTTCAAATTTTCTTACCTGCAACATATTGGTTATGTTTTCTTAAGTACATTTTTTTATGCTTCCTCAAAACTGTATGTACTACTAGCCTCCTATCTATTCAAATCTGGCTAATCTACACACATGGGTCCTTCCTGTATACAGTAATATCTGCTGTATAGATAACATCTTCTGTATAGTCACTGTTGGTCATACACTGTACAGTTTGCAATGGCCTCAAGGGAGGAGCAGTCCTTTTTAAGGACTGCCAAAATGTGCCTATAGCTGAACTAAACTGTAGAAAATAAACATGAAAAAAGCATATGCAATCAGTGATCCGAATTTAAACATGGTCTTAGAGAAGAACTCCAGGCAGAACGTGTATTAACCCTTGCAGTGGGGCAACTCTCGCACTGCAAGGGTTAACTGCTCGTTTTTGCATTAAAAAAAGTTACACTCTTCCGGTTCATACGAGCTGGCCAGCTTTTAGTCTGGTCTCTAGAGCGTCTCTCCTCCTCCTCTGCAGAGGTCTAGCATCCTCTAGTCATCATGTCCAACTGTCCGTACCTGAGTGGAGACCGACCGCTGAGGAGGCTTCCCTTGCAGCTCGTGTCCCTAGACCCTGAGGATGGGAACAGAGGAGGAGTGACAACGAGCTGCACGAGTGCCAAGGATGTAGCAGACACTTGTGCCGGGTAGAAAGTGCAGAATCCGGAATGGGGACAGGTCAAGCAGAGCCGAGGTCAAGCCGGGTGGGCAGCAGGGTGTTTGAAGCAGAAGACAAGAGCAAGATCCAAACAGAAGCCAAGGGTCAAATCCAGCCGACCAGCAAAGTACAAAACAGGAGGCAGTAGGAAGTCCAATGAACAGGCCGAGGTCAGGAGGCGGGCAGCAATCAAGAATGGTCAGAGGCAATCCTGGTCAAACACAGAAAGTCGGCAAACAAGGCAGAGTCAAGGATACACAGGGAACTAGCTGAAGATCATCCAGCAACTAAGGATATGGCAGGCTGGTTTACATAGGCCAATCCATTAGCAGGAGACATGTAATTTCCTGTGCATCTTACGTGCACACGTTTTCGTGCGGAAGTTCGTTGTGCACACATGCGTACTAGTGCCTGTTTCCCAGTTACTCAGAAAACAGGGCCATGCACATGCGCAGAGGTGCTTGGGGTCTTACACCAATACAGTGTATAGGATGTGAGGATGCCAAAGCACATACCATGACTGCAGTGGAGATGGAGAGAGGCTGGAGGTATGCTGTTGGCTCCAAGAATCTGGTAAGTATAAGTTTTGTTTGGACCCTAGGCAAAAAGGAGCAATTACCCTTGCAGATTGGAGGTAGCCCCTCTTCAAGGGTCAATAAAATGTCTTCCCGTAGTTCTTTTTTAATGTTTGTGATAAGTGTCAAGGTTCTGTTCTAGACGTCGCAGTTATCACAAACATATGCACATACAATGCTATACAATCATAAAGACCTTCGTAATATTTTGGTTCTTTTGTAAAAAAAATAAAGTAATTTTTGGCTGAGCTAGGGGTTTGGGTTAGAGAGAGTAGAGAGTGGTTCAGTTTATTTACCAAAACGTGACACCTTTTAACCTTCCTATTAGTTAAGACACTGCTGTGCTCTACTAACTACAATAGTGCTTGAATAGGCATTAGCTGTTAAACTGCTGTCAGGCTTTTTTTTCTATCTGTGTCCCATTACAGGGATTTCACTGCACTGCTTGTGCTGTAAACTCAACAGTAAGTGAGAAGATATCTTTCCAATGTAAGGTTAGCAATACACGTTTAGATTTCAATTCAATGTATTTCTTATTGATGCTGAACAGCACAGATGGAGACATTGTCATGCCTGCTATTGTATGCAGACAGCCGCCCCCACACCTACGGCTGTCTGAATACCCGAACAGTGACTGCATCTGGTGGGAGCATTTGGTTCAGCCAACAATTTTCCGCCTGGCACTTTTGATTTTTCAATCAACTTCTAAAGCCAAGGTTGTCAGGAACCAGATCACCTGCTGGTGACACTGTGCTAATTGTACCTGAAGTATGTAGTTCCAGTGTCCACCTGCAGGTGTCTCCCAGCAGCCAGCAGTTTACAGTAATTTGTCTGCACCTGATAGTGGCTGCTGGTAGGGTATTTAGCTCCTTCTCAGAAAGCATTCAATGCCTCAGCATTTTACCTGTGTGCGCATACTCTATGTTTGCTGGAAACCTGTAATCCTGATCCTGCTACAATACCTGCTCCTTATGTACCTGACCACTATTCTGGATGTATTCTTAATCTGTTTTACCTGCTGTTCCTTGTACTCCCTACCTGACCCTGTTTTTATGTTATTCTCTATTTGTATATAGTTTGTATATATTTTGTAAGTTAGGTAGGTTTTTCACACTTTGCAAATGGGCTTGCTGATGTTGCATAGATGCATGTATGTTGTTTTTCAACCGTGTTGGGTTCTCAATAAACCTTGTTGCTTTTTCACATGGTTTTGGGGACCAGTGCCCATTGTACAGCTCACACATCTGGTCGCACCTGCTCTGCAGGATACCTGCACACGGTATCCTTACACAGGTGGTACTTACAGAGCCACCCCTGTCTCCAATTTCAGCTGATTCAGCAGGAATTAGCAGAAACCCAATTCGTGTATGACCAGTTAAAGGTATTCCCACCTTAGACAGCTGTCACAGGAACAACTGAACAATTTCCTTTTGGCTGCCATCTTGATCTTGTCCTTACTACCTGGTAGGTCACTGGCAATGCAGGATGAGAGTTCGGACTCTTCAAACCTCACTCGCTGCATGTTTGATCCAGATCAGTAACTCACAGGAAGTGAAGCCAGGATCAAAGTGACACCCGTAGAGCCTGCATGAAATGACTCCTCCTATCTTTTATCCTCCAATGTACACTTTATATTACTAAGAATGATACAGCCACAAGCATTTGTATACTGCCTATTAGTGATTTGGCTAGGCTTGGTGTGAACCCAGTTAATCTGCGTTTGCCCAAGCCCGCTCAAAACTCTAATCACCACCCCCTCCCCCCAACCCAAGAAGTTGTGGAGAGGCGCAGTCCACACCCCACAACTATACGTCACAAAGTGCCAGCGAACACCACTGCCACCACTGATTGGATCGGGAGGAGGGGGTGAAGCTTTGAGCATGCTTGGACGAACTCAGAAAAACTCACCAAGCCCAGCCTCATTTCTTTTGCCTATTCAGACACATTGTGGAAACTGGGAGAGCTCTTGTGTCTTGATATGTTGAAGCACATAGTTTACTTATTGTAAAATATATATTTTTTTATCATATTGTACTTTTGTTTTCACATATACAGGGAGCATTTCCAGCTGAATACCAGATAGATGAAGAAAACCAAGGAAGTCTGTCCTGTTTAGATAATAATCATTCACATTTTATACTTGTGGACGATGGTACAAATGGCAGATATGGTGTTGAAATCATTCTGCGGGCAAGGCTGGAAAAGTTCATTTCAGAGCAGACGAAAGAGAAAGGAGGTAAACAAGAGTGTAACTAGGAATGACTGACCCCCATAGCAAATCTAGCTGTATATGGCATGGGCATGTGGGTATAGCAGACAACAAAAAGGTGTTTATTTGCTAAATGAGGAGAGTATATTAATTTATGAAGGTGAATGTTCACTTAAGTGGATGAAGTAATGGTGTGTTCAGTTTGAATATCCAATCATGCCAAAGGCAATAACCTGTTTGTTTGCACCCTAAGTCACCCCTTTATAATACCTGTTGAATATGATAAACAGTGCAACAAGTATACATATACAACCTACTATTTGGAAATCCTTCTAAGCAACTTTTTTTTATTTCTTAATTATTGTTTTGCTATCGGGCAGCACACAAATAAAACAGATCAAAATCACAGTATAGCTATAATGTTTTAATCTGAATATCACTATCACCATCTGCTCAGAACAGTTTATAGACCTAATTTAATCAAATGACAGGCACAGACTGTGAAGCCAATGCACATGAATACAAATTACCTCATATGAAATTGGGAGAAGGCTGTGTTCTTTAGTCTCTGCTTAATATCTACTATTATGGCTTATCAAAGTCTCCCTCTGGATTTTATTAGTACAGGGCTCAACTCAGCACTCCTGTTTAGCTGCTTTTACATACTTCTTTCTTTGGCCCATCTCTCTTTGTCCTAGACATTACAGTTGCATTACAGCTGAGGGTTTAAAGCCCAACATTAGATAGGGTAACTTTGGACATTTTGATAACCTCTTTAACCCCTTCATGACTGAGCTTGTTTTTAGTTTCTGTTCGTAAATGACTGACACACTTTTGACATTTTTGCTGTGTGATTCTTCCACGTCAGTAATATACTTTCTTACAAAGTGCACCCACACATATTATATATTGTTTTTTAGAGGACAGATAGTGCTACATATTTATATCACATATGTGTGTCTAACGCCTCACTTAGGACAAATAAAATATAAAAAAAGAGAAAAAAAACGTTAAAAAAACACCTTTTTCCCAGTTTTGATTTGTAGTATTTTTTTTACAACACCAGCACAGCTAAAAAAATGCAATAAATGCATTCATTTATTTGTCCCTTCTTTTATTTATTTTTTTACACATTTCACTTTTTTTTAAACTTAAAAATTTTATTTTATTTATTTAATTATATCAAGCAGTCATTGTGAATTAATCTCACTGTTACTGCTTGATAAATTAATACATTTTTGGTTATTATCAGGCTGCTTCAAACTTCAGAACAGCCGATAATAAGTTAGTGACACTGATCCTGCAGCAGTTCAGGATTCAGCTGTCACTATAGGTTTTCTGATTGTTGCAACAACGATCAGCAAACTGAAACATTCTTCTTCCAGGAATAGATACATTATAGGAATAGACACATTTGGGGTGATTTACTAACCTAAACACACGCACGCACTAGGTGCGTGTGATTTTTACACAGCAAAACGTATCTATCAACCAAAAAGTCTCTAAAAGCATATTTCCACTAATGCCATATATGGAAAAATCATGCACATGCTGCATATATAATGCTGCTTCACAGTTTAGACAAAAATGGTTAGCTCATGCATTTACATTCCTGCATTCATCAACGCAAGCAACACAACGTAGAGCTAATTTACACAACATCACCTTGCAAATTCATCCAGGGCTTTGCACAACACACCTGCTGGGTGTGTACACACTACAAAGGTGTTTAGATTCCACCCATAGATCATGCTGGGAGGGAACACACTAACTAATAGTATGTAAAATCTCAATGCACTTCAGTCTACAATGTAATGGATTTTACGGAGGGCACCACACAAAAACACACATAAAAATGGGAAGTTCCTTCTTCACATGAGAGTCCCCCTTCACATCAGTAGCCCCCTTCACATCAGAGATATCCCCCTTCACATTAGGAGCCCATGTTCACCACATTAGGAGCCCATGTTCACCTCAGAGTCCTTGTTGGTGAAATTTGCACTCACTTTTTGTATGGTCACCAGGGTAGGAAGTGAGAGAAAATCCTGCCTCATGGAATACAGACAAAAATAAAAATCCAAGAGTACTTATAACTCTTCCTCACATTCATCTGCTAAACTGGAGGGTATTGTGACTTTGCACCCATTTCCATTAGATATCATATTCTAGACAAATAGCTTGTGTGACGAAAAACTATTTTAGCCTGATTAAAAACCAGGTTGATTGGAGTCACCTTGAAGTTCTACTGCGCCAGAGACAATTTCAGTGTTTGAGTGCACAAGAGCAACAGCAGATGTGATGTCAACAACTGTTGCTGGTATTCATCTTGGTCCAGCATCATTCGATGTATGTTAACATTAGAGTGATTTCAGCCTGAGTTTTGATGAAGTCACCCTTTTGTCAAACTAAAGCTCATGTTTTCAGGGTAAAGTCAATCCAAACAAAATTTAAAATGTTCCAGGCTGTCTCCGGCTTCAGTACTGTCAAAACTTCTAATCTGCATACCACCAAGTCAGTGACTCAGAAAGTATTCATGCTATTGAGCAAAGCAACAGGTTCACAAAACTTACTCAACTGCACATAGCCACTTTCCTCTTCAATATCTAGCTACTCTATTCACCACCTGGCAACAAAGAGAATATGCTATATGTTAACCTGGAAAGATATCTACTGACACATTGTTGCAGCAACAAGGGTTTAACCTAATAGGAAGTGAGAGAAAATCTCCAACAGGAACAGAAAACTAAAAGCAGTAAAAAACGGACAGGAATTTTAGTCTTTCCCCACTCTGTCCTGTCCTGTAAACTTAGAGAATGTCTTGCCAATGTAAGGAAAATCCCCTCTTAGATAGTTGTCACAGGGACAAGTGTCCCAATTAAAAGATTTCCCTCCATTTCTGTTCTGGTGGATTCACCATCACTTTCTTGCCCATTGACATTTGCGATCAGGACAGTTGGAGAGAGTGTTTCTCCCTAATGGGGACACAGACAACAATAAAAACAGTCAGCTATTATAGACCCTCACTACTCTATCCAAAATGAATAAAAAGAGGACTGCATTTAGTTACACTTTAGAAAAAAACTATAACGGTTTTGACTAAATTTTTACTTTTCAAGTTTTAAGCTAATGTTTTTAAACTGATATTTTATATCTATTTTTACTATCCGTATAAACTCGTTTTATATGACAAAGGACTTCCAAAGCATCATGGATTAGCTAAAAAGACAGCACTTGAGGTACTGCTTTCTCGGACTCGAAGCTTGGTCTGAGACCTCCAATAAGGCACGAGTCACAGTGCTAATTAATTCACATGTGCGTTAATTTCACCTCGAGTTGTTTGGCTCTGTAAGCAACAGGCATTTTTTACAGTAAAAAAAACAAAAATGTGGAAGGGAACCTAAATCTTCCCTGATAGTTGGATATAGACTTTATTTGTAATATTTAAATATAGCATATAAAAAAAAGGCTTTTTTATCCTAACCATAATAAATAAAGAATACGAAATCAGTATAAATTGCCTTTAAAGAGAAACTAAACTCAGGAGTTAAATCTTATAAATGCATTCAAGTACCGTAACTAATAACAAAAATGTATATTATTTGTGTATCACTCGGCTGTAGATCCTCAAATCATCTCTGAATTTGTGCTGACACTGTCCTTCCTTCTGGAGGGTGGCTACTTTTGTTCCCCATGGTCCCTATGTGTGTTGTAAAGTAGCCACCACTCCAAGCTCACTCCTGCGATGGACTATAATCTTGATACAAATGAGTAAACTAAACGTGAGATTATAGTCAATCACAGGCATGAGCTTGGCTGTCACATGAGGATCAGCCAAACTCAACTCTGATTCTGGCAGAGATCACCCAGCCTACCATGGGATCCTGGAGCAGTTGTTTCTGCAAGCAATGATTCATGTTAGTATCTGAACAACATCTGCATGGGCTGCTAAGTCTATAGTTACTCCAGAACCAGTTAAGCAAGAGTTGCTCCTAAAAATTTGGATCATCAAAATGATTAATGTAATAAAAATACATTGTTTCAGTATTTCCCAAAATATATTGGGAGAGGCATGGGGATGGAAGAATTAAGATAGACGTTGGAAAGAGAAAGACATTAAAAAAATAAATAAATAAGCAGATCACACATGACTAGTTAGATGACATACAGGAGTCTTTTTCTTTGAAAGGCACAACCACAATACACAATACTACTATACCCAATTTTGCAAATTTGTAATTTTGTTTGTTTACTCACTTATTCCAGGAGTTGCCATCAGGATACCCATAGTCTGTGTTGTGCTGGAGGGAGGACCAGGTACACTAGATGTAAGTTACAACTATCTTAACAACATTGTTATATAGTTAGTAAGGAGTTCAACCAAAATAAATAAAATGCATAGAAAACCCTAATATACAGAACCCTACACCCACAATTGATCCAAAGGAAGGAAAAAACCCTATAAAAAATTCCAATTTATTTCAACAGGGGGGAAAGGGGAAGAAACTCCTTCTTATCAGATATTCCCTGGATCAACAATTGCTGGTATTTTCCCTTAAAACAATCAGCTGAGCCTTCTATTACTAGTCCTTGAGGGAGCCTATTCCACATTTTCACAGTTTACACTGAGGAAGTTTTTTTACATGCAGAAGTTAAACCTCTTTTCCTCCAAACACAAAGAGGTGTAATTATAAAAAAAATTGCAGAGCCATTCATCCTGAGAAACTGCATGTACACTCACTCTGTGCAAATGGAGGCGAAAACAAGTGTTTTTATATTTTCTTTCTAGGTTAAATGCAATATCAGGAAAATACCACAGATTAAGCTGAGGAGCATAGAAAATAAGTATTTTTTGTATTCTCCTCATTCAGGTCTGTTTGAAATTTGGAGACATCTTGTAAGGAAGAGACTTTTAATCCCAAATTTTATATAATTTATAAATAGGTTAAAAAAAAGTAAGGGTCTCATCACTTTTTTTGTTCCAATGTTGTTACATTTTATGTGTCACTCAGGAAAGTTTTGTTTTATTTATGGGCTCTTGTCTATGTGCATTAACCAATTGACATCCGCGCTGTTAAACCCCCTTCCCATCCAGGCCATTTTTCAGTATTCAGTGCTATTGTCCGTTTTTTTTACAACGGGCGGACTGCGACTGGTTAAAGGATTTGTATTTTTTCATGATCTGGTAGTCCCTTTCTATCCTGATCACCACTCTGTGAATACGATCTTTAAGCCAGTTTACTATCTATAAACAGACTACATTTTCTAAGCCTATAGACCATCTGTGTGTCAAACACTTATGCAAAATCCAAGTATACTACATTTACAGCCACTCCTTAATTTAGGTTTTTGCTTATTCCCTCATAAAAAAAGTAGATTTGTTTTGTGAATTCATGCTATCACTTATAATATTGTTTTCTAGCAAAACAAAAAACATCAGTGTGGCCCCTTCAAACGCTTGAGTATTTTCCCCAGTATAGAAGTTAGGTTTACAGGTCTATAGTTAACCTGGTAAAGACTGTGATCCCTTTTTAAATATAGGCACCACATTGGCCTTGCACCAAAAAGTTGGTGTCAAGCCAGTCATCGAAGTGCCTCTAAAAATTAGAAACAATGACTTCAAAATAACAAAGCTAAACTCTATGAGGACAGGTGGGTGTATTTTATCTACTGTAACTGTTTCTGGACCATAACAGTCTTGCGCCATTGTGGTTCATTGGCTGTGGCAATTCTATCCCCATTTTAATTTGAGTTTCCACATTTTGCATTGTATTCACAGAGCTGAAGAAGATATTTATTAGATATGCTCAGACCTGATCTTTTTACTATTATTATATATATAAAGAATGTTTTGGGGTTTGTCTTACTCTTGTCTCTTGTATTTTGCTTTATACATTGCTGATTTATTGCTCTGCAATCCAGTGCTCATCCACTTTTAGGTTGAATGACATAGCTAGGGATGTTCAGATACCAAGTACCGTACTAGGTACAAGTACAAGTACATGTACAGATACTTTTTACTTTTCCAGCTCCAGGACTAGACTAGAGACAAATTTAAAAGTTAGGAGGCAGCTGTCATTTGTAAGGAGCACACGGAACTCCTGGGATTTGTACATCCCCATTGTAATGCATAATTTTTTTAAATAAATATATATAGTAGACAAAAATCTGCGCTAATGGTAAAACGTCAATTGCTACATTTAACAATTAGTGGTATTATATAAAAAAAGAAAAGAACATAACCATACAATTTAAAAATGAATGTGAAACCGGAAAGAAGCTAAAAGCTGCTAGACTCAGGCATTGAGCCCTAAGGGTTGAGTTATAAATATATATAACTGATGCACCGATACCATTTTTCCAAGTACAAGTACTGATACTTGTCCAAGTACTCACAGATACAAGTACTGATACATTTTTGTTTATTGTCATGTGACAGTTTTTCTAAAGCAATACATACTAATGATTTCAGGACAGTGGTGGGGCACCAGAGCCAGGTCCCAGCTGCCACCGCTACAACCCTGGTAGTTCTCATGAAAATGCCAAGTGTCTGCACTGGTATCTGGACATCCCTAGATCTAGCATTATCCAAACCACTTCCTGTGAGCTCACGATTCTTATTGGATTTCCCATACAAGATGCACATGTGCACTAGGAAGAAGACCTGGCTGGGACTTTTTGCACACAAAAACTGTTCAGCACCAGGCAGGGCTGCCCAGAGAAGATGATGGGAGTTAAAGAAAAATTATACTATAGCTATTATTTCAAATTATTTACTGAGTCTTTTTTGATATTAGAATTGGGAATAAGGTAAGTATTCACCCTGGCAGCAGCAGTCAGTTTATTGCGTGGATTTTAGGGGACAATTTCACTAAAAGTGAAGTTGTCCTTTAAGGTATGTTTAATGAGTATAAAATGTGGTGGGGAGCTTCAAGGAGGGGATTGTGGGGACCAGGGGTAAAAAAGCTGAAATTGTGTGTCATAGAGTGAACAATGCAATGTTTTATATTTTTGCAGCTCACAGTGTGAATTTAAAACAGCAGAGATGAGTATTTAAAATACAAGTTGTCAGGTGTTACAGTAAATCTGTGTAAGAATAGAAGAATCAACAATGGGACATCACATAACCATGTTACAGTACACATTTATTATGCTATTTGTGAAATGTATCAAGCAATTTACAGTGCATATAAAAATTATTCAGACCCCCTTCACTTTTTTCAATTTTGTTGTGTTGCAGCCTTATACTACAGTTGATTAAATTCTGTTTTTTCTCATTAATCTACACTCAGTACCCCATAATGACAAAGTGAAAACAGAGTTTTAGAAATGTCTGTGAATTTATTAAAAAGAAAAAACTGAAATATCACATGCACTTAAGTATTGAGACCCTTTACTCAGTACTTTGTTGAAGCACCTTTGGCAGCAACTACAGCCTCAAGTCTTTTTGGGTATGACGTGACAAGCTATGCAGACCTGGATTGGGGGATTTTATGCCAGTCTTCTTTGCAAATCCTCTCAAGCTCAGTCAGGTTGGGTGGGGACCGTCGGTGGACAGCCATTTTCGGGTCTCTCCAGAGATGTTCAGTAGGGCTCAAGTCAGGGCTACGAGGCCTTCTATAGAGAGACAGGTGTGTGCCTTTCCAAATCATGTCCAATCAATTTAATTTACCACAGGTGGACTCCAATCAAGGGTAGAAACATCTCAAGAGAAAGGGGGGGCACTTGAACTAAATTTCAAGTGTTGTTGCAACAGGTCTGAATACTTATGCCAATGTGATTTTTCAGTTTTTCCTTTTTCATACATTTGCAAACATTTCTAAAACTCTGTTTTCATTTCGTCATTATGGGGTATTGAGTGTAGATTCATGAGAAAAAAAAGATAATTTAAACAATTGTAGTATCAGGCTGCAACATAACAGAATTGAAAAAAGTACTTGCAATAGAATTGATAAATCTCCTTGATGGTATAATGTTAAATGAAGGTTCAGTTATTCAGTTATATTCAGTTATATTCAGTTATAACATGTAATACTTTGTGTGGTCTCTGCAGACGATCTATAATGCTATCAGCAACAACACACCATGTGTAATTGTGGAAGGATCAGGAAGAGTAGCTGACGTCATTGCTCAGGTGGCACAACTTCCCATTTCAAAAATTACAACCTCTGTTGTTCAAGAAAAATTGCGCACTCTTTTTCCTGATGCATATGACACCTTTACAGAGCACAAGATAGTGGAATGGACAAAAAAGGTAAAACAAAAAGCTGGATATATTTTTAATGCACGTATGAGTTGGACTGTTTTAAAGTTTATCTACAGCAAAAACATTTGGATAAAGTGGGAAAGGATTAGAACATCTGCCAGGTTTTTATTGCTGTTTGTGACCCTACTGGGGAGATTTACTCTCTCTATTTGATCTGCTGACCACTGTCAACCGGGACCGAAAGTGAGGGAAGGTCCAAATTTTTGAGTGGTCACCAGAATAGAAAAATATAAATCTTGTAATGGGAACACTAGTTCCAGAGTCAACTAAGAGGGAATTCCCTCACTTTGGAGATATTTTCTTTTTTGTTTACAAGTTTGCAAGCTTATAAACTGACACATTCAAGCTGATTTACTAAAGGATATTCACATAAATGATCCAATTGTGTAAACGGTAGAACCCTGTTTACTTGTTTACTTATTTAATCTGTGCATGATTGGATTAGTGAAGTCAACTATCACACAATTTATTGTTTGAACATTCTTCTTAGCTTTTAGTAAATCAGTATCTCTCCCTCTCCCTCTCTCTCTCTCTCTCCCCAATTCTATCTTCCTATCTCTTTCTCCCACTCTCTCGCCCTCTATCTCTATCTCTCTCTCTTTCTTTCCCTCTCTTTCTCTTCTGTCCTGTAATATATTTTACTATTTGGCTTTATTTAGAATGCAGGATATTCACATCATAGTACTAAAAAGACAGTCTCTTTGGTGGTAATTTTACCTTACAAGTGGTAAATGTAAAATATTAATTTACACCATTTAATGCTCAACTAATTTAAAAAGAAAAAAACATTTTTAAAATATTTTTCTTTTGTTTTGCCTAAAATATAATGTGACTGTAGAGTGCAAAAGGGTTAAAAGCTGTATTATGTTTTTTTGTTGCCTATGTCCCCCTACTTCCTGTCTAAGTTACAAGCTGACTGTCAGCTTATTTTGAGGCTTATAGTTGGCCTTCTTGTCTGGAGGGGTCTCTCAGGACCTGTGACTGACCTCCAGTATGGATGCTTATTGTTCTGCCTGAGTGGTTTGCCCTCTCCTTGATCTGATCACACTGGGTCTCTCCTTATCTAAACCCCTTTTTTTTCTTCTCCCTACCCCCCACCATTTTTTTTCTTCTTCTCCTTTTCTCTCTGTTCTTCTTTTCCTCTTCCAGTCCTACCTGTGGTTTCCACCTCTCTTTCTTTGTTGTTTCTCCTGCTTTCTTCTCGAGTTTCTCTCTGCCTCTTACCTTTCTGGCTCTATGCATTCCTTCCTCTCTGCTTTCATTTTAAATGATGGAGGTCATATGAGTCCTGGCCTATTTACCCTTATTCTATGTGGTTATTTGTACATTGTAGAACATGTACAGATTTTTAGTGCTTGACTCTACAAGTGCTCCGTCACCTAAGAGTGAATTGTGCCTCCTTATGTTCACATGGCTTGGTTGTATCTTTACCTTTTTCTACCACCATTTATTACTCTGTTGCATTATTTGTATATTTGTGGTTTTGGTATCTTGTATTGCAAAATGTTATATAAAGAATTGAAAAAAGAATTGAAACAAAGAGCTACAAAGAAAGCAATACAAGACTGGCAGGAGTTCAAACCCTTCTTAATGCCATTTAAATCTATAGAAAAGTTTGGATTGGAGTCCAGCTTTACTTTTGCAGGAGCAGGAACCTGCCATTAGGTTCTCACCTATAATTACATAAGACCGAATAAGAAGGTTTAGAAAAAAATACTTTATTGTCCTCATCAAACTGTGAAGGGGACACACATCAAATAAAGATGTGACAGTGATGTTATAATTATGCTCTTCAATATGTCTTAGTTTTTTAGGTTAATAATAATTTTTCCAGATACAAGATATCATGAGGCACAGTCAGTTACTTACCATCTTCCAGTCAGACAAAGATGATCAGCATGACATTGATGTTGCCATTCTTCAAGCTTTGCTTAAAGGTATGTACTGTATTGTAGCAATTTTTATAATTGTCACTTGCTATAGAAAATTCAAGGGGGAAAATATGTTTTAAATAGATGGTTTATTATATTGTTTTATTATGCACGGCTCATAACATTTTTACATTGACAAATATGCATTTATTATACAGTACACGTCTGACACTGAATGTACACATCATTATGGGTTTTCTTGTTTCTCTCTCTCTCTCTCTCTCTCTCTCTCTCTCTCCCTCCTGTATGGGACCCTCAAAGCAGAACAGGCAGAGAGAGGAATAAGTCACTCCTGTTTTTAAGCTAAAATAAGCTTGAGCTAGTGAGCTCTGTAGACACCAGGCTATGTTTTAGCAAAGCATCTAAGAATAGACAGGTAAAGGTAAAGAGACATCTGGAGCTCCACCTGCTGATAATGTGAACTTTTTTTAAATGACAAAAAAAATGAAACAGTTTTTTGTAATTGTTAAATCCCATCTCCAAGATAAAACTAAACCTCCTCCCACCCACCTGTAACTGATTGCTGGCAGAAAAACAAAACCCTATCTAAATGCCTATTTTACTTACCAAAAGCTGCAGTCATTTGATCCTCTAGTGCGAGTCCTCTCTCCCTTTGTTTACTTCTAGTGGGGTCTTTCTTTAGGTGTCCATGTCACTGCTTGTGTGAACTCCCATACTGCAGTCACACAATAAAGAGGACCTGTCTAACAGTAAAACTGTGATCAGTTAACCACTTGCTGTCCGGAGCAATTTCTTACTATTTGCACACACATGGTAAAATCTGAAATTTTGGCTAGAAAACAGCTTCAGACCCCCCAAACAATGATATATTTTCTAAAAGCAGAGGTCCTGTAGAATAAAAAAATGCTAGTTGCAATTTTTTATGTTGCACGGTATTTATGCAAATGTTTATCAAACCAGTATTTTTAGGATAAAATACACTAAAATTAAATTTAATGCACAAACAGAGTATAATACCCAATTTTTGGTAAAATATAAAAGAAAGGATCATGTCGGGGAAAAAGATAGCAAACATGTCAAGCCTCAAAATTGTGTTTTCCCGTGGAGCCGCAAAAAACTACAATACCCAAAATTTCCCATAGGGGACCATTTTAAAGCTTTAACTGCTCATCAGTTTACTGTTAGCAGTGAATAATGGCCTTAGAATTATTGCTCTCACTCCGTTGTTCAGAACTATATGTAACATGTGTAGTGCAATTTTAATTTTCAACGTAGGTGCACCGACACGTGTTTGCGTATGTATGTGGGGGGCGGGGGACTTTCAAAATGTTTTTTTGTGTGCATTTTTAAAAAAAATGTATATGCTACTTTCATTTTTTTAAAATACTTAGTTTTACACTAACTTTATTGCTATCATATAAGGGGCTTCATTTTCTTTTTCTATTTCAAAAAGGAAATGTCAGCGGTCTCTTTAGACCCCTGATATTTCCCTAAAGCT